GTGTTTAGTTTGGTTGGGTTTTTTTTTCCCTCTCCACCCAAAAAAGTAAAAATTTGGAGAACATGTAATGCAGTAATAGCATGTACAGCTGTTGTTTCATAGTCAGAACACTTAATGCAGTAATAGCATGTACAGCTGTTGTTTCATAGTCCTTTCTACATGCTTTTTATGAAGCGGATTAAGAAAAATCTTTCACGGAAGACTGGAAATTCAGTGATGATGTCTGCAACAGTCCATAACTCCTCGTAGTTGTATCCTAACTCATACTCTTATTGGAAACAGACTCCTAGCCTTAGAGTTATGTTTTAGTTGCCACTTTCACTGTCTCCATACAGTAGTATATTATCTAAATTCACACTGGATAAAAATGAAGTTTAATTTAAAATCTTTTTGTGTATTGATTCATGTGAAATACTGAAAGATAATTAGCTAAGACTAAAAAGGTCTATTTTCCCCCTACAGTTTTGATCTGTATTCTTCATAGCTCATTTTCTCTGTTTGACTTAGCATGTTATTTTGCTTCCTGTGCAAGTTGGTATGAAGATATTTAAGAAAGAAGTCATTTTTGCCAGTAAACAAATTGACATTATTAGAGAAGAAAAAAAAATGGTGATATCAACAAAAGAGGTACCATGGGAAAGGATAAAAATGAACTCTGGAATGACAGTCCTCTTAAACATGAAAAGATCTCCTCTGCCAGGTCACAGTGGTTTTTTGCCCCTACTGTTGCCCAGAGCATTTTGGGCTCCAGCTGCATACAAGGAATACTCTTTGATTCTTCCCAGCTAAATGAAAGGTTATAATCAGATGCTTTGGTTTGCAGGAGAGCAAACTTGATTTATAGAATACAGTTTGCTTTCTTGTATTTGGAAATGTTTGTCTATGGAAAAACCTTTGGAAGTGTATGCTAGTTATCCTAGTTATATGAGGTTTTTTTTATAGTTCTTGAGCACAGAGCTGTCAAAAGCCCATTTCATTGAACGTTGCTTTTGTCCTGTTGTATTCAAAACAGTACAATTGCAGTCAATGCAAAATGTAAGTTGAGGTTGTTCTTGTGTGGCATTAGCCTGTCTTTTGTGGTATCTAGACAAAGCCAGTAGATATTATGGGAATAGATGAATTCCTGATGAATGTTTTTTATCCAGTGATGTCTGTCAAAATAACCTCATGTGGGAGGTTGCCCCATATGTTGATCAGGGGCATATGTTTTTCTTCTGCTGTTTCACTTGTCTACCAGAGTTGAGTAGTCTTTTAGGAACACTGCTTGTATTCTCTGCTGTAAGAAATCGGTCTTTGCGCTCTTCTTCCTGCTATACAAGGTAATTCATAGATTGAGGAAGCAAAGTGCAAAAACAGCTGCAAAGGCAGATGATAATTTACTTAATTGTCTGTGTCTCAGAATTTCTTCTTTATGACTCTTATTTCTAGGCAGTCACAGCTCCCAAGTAATACTTCTGTTTTTTTCCCCTTCTTCATAAACGTATGAAATGAACAGGTATGAGAGTAAAAGTTAAATTCATTTAGAGGAAAAGATAAGAACATACAAAGTGGTACCCAAGAAAAATGGTTTGAAACAATAGGATTTTTTCCATGCAGGTATATCATACCTAAATAATGTTTCACTACTGTTGCGGTAGATGACTTTGTAGACTACTCAGGTGAGTTTGCTCTTTAGGGATTGATGTGGCATATTTGCCTTTTGATTTAAAGTCTTAAGTGGGTCAGTTGTGGGGATAACTAATTGGCGTGCAAGTCTAATTCAGGATAATCTGTCTGATTATCCTGCAAAATATGCAAAGTAAGTAGTTTATTTGAGTTTATAATTTCATCTCAGCAATATGGAACAAACATTTGAAATAGCTAGTTGCAGTTTTATACCTTCATGTCTCCATTCATCCTTCAAATTGCTGGAAAACATACCATTCCAAACAAGATGCAAAGATCTTTGATTTTACTTTAGAAATATACATATGCTTGCCAGTTTCCGCACAGTGTATAATGAATCTAAGTAGTAACACAATGTAACTTGGGTACTCAAAAATTAGATGCCTGAAAGAGCTGGAGCTGCACTTTGGGATTTTGTGGGAGAGTGTGTTTGTGATTTTTTAACTCTACTAGAGCCAATTGGCTCTTTCAGGTAGGCAGAGTTTCTAAGGGTGTTCTTGGTAAATGTTAAACAAGTAGTAATGAGCTGGAAGGAAGACTCCAGGGAGCTGTTTACTCAAATTCTGTGAGGACCCGAGGAGTGGAAGGGAGGCAAACAAAATAACTGATGCTTTCCATGGTAATGTGGATTCATACCTTTTTAAAGATGCAACTAAATCATCTGAAGAGTAAATATTTCGCTTTTTGAATAGTGAAAATTGAGCCTGGTGTCCAGTAGGTTCAAGATACGAAAGAGAGGAATCCTTAGTTAAGAGGAGGTTTCTTAATTTCATTATCCCTTCCTTACCATCTGCTGATAATAAACTAGACTATGAAGCATGTAATGGGCTATGTCTCTGAGAAAAATTTCATATAAATTTCTGGATCTGACATTCAAGTTTGGTTTTTCTTTGGAGGAAATGGAAGAATAATTATGAATCTGTAATCTTAGGTATACTTTGACTGGAGTTTGTTCAAAGTACGAGAATGAGTCTTTGTAAGGGATTTATATTATAAAAAATAAGAAGTATGCTATAGGTCTGAGATTAAATTACCAATTAAACACTGTTTTAAGTAGAAACTAGTTATGTGGGGGTTTTTGGTGTGGTTTTGGTTCGGTTTGTTGGGTTTTTTTGGTTTGTGGTTTTTTTGTTTTTTTTTTTTTAGTCTGCTTGGTCATTGGAATTAATGACATCTGAGGCAAATATGATATGAGAATATGAGGTTTCTGATTTTTTTTTTCACTTTTCCCTCAATTTTTTCTCATTTTTCCATTCTCTTAAGTTCATATTCACTTTCTTTTCTATGTTTTTTAAGACCACTGTTAGAAAGTACATAATTTTTCATGTTAGAATTCTACTGTGGCTACTATTGAGTATGAGGTACAATAAAGATAATTTTTTTTTCCTTCAAAAAGTGAAATTTTTTGTGTGGGAAAAAAACTTCCTTCATGTCTCCCTGCACTATTTACTAAATATTATCTGTTCATGATTGGTTTTCTTCAGTATTTGCTACACAAGTTAGCTGGATTACATTACCTTTCTGATATGCTGAAAAAGTTGCATGTTTTTTTCCTTGCTTATACACATTTTCTGCTATGTGGTGTGGGGTATGGTTTTATTTTTTTAATTTTGTAAGAAATGTTTGTAACAGTGCATGAGTATTAGTGGTCAGAGGGATGAAATACATTAGCTAAATATGAAGGAAGACTAAGACACTGGCTAAATACATAGATTAATTTCATTGCACATCTTCAGATATATTTTTCACATGCCTGACTGTTATACTAACTCACTAGTGGTTTAAATAATAATTCAGAAATAAATTATTTTTGCCAACCTTAGTCTTATAATAAAATGTGTGAAATTAAAGTTTTTTTATATGATTTAACCCTGGTAATACTGAAAAAAGTAGGTTGTTGGCTGTTAATCTAGTTGTCCAGTGTTACAACATAGAGCAACAGAAGGGGCAGAGATTTACTTTCTGCTGTGTAATTGTTTGTGCAGAGTAGGGAGAAGAGCCTGCATACGTTGAGGAGTAGCTGGAACTCAAGCTGCTACTTATACTCTTAAAATTGCCCCATCCTTCTGTGGTTATTGCTTTGTGAACAGTTTCCTTGTGCAGTGTGGGTGCTCTGGATGCCAACGCACTGACAGCGTTCAGCGTGCGGAGCAAGCCCTGCTTACCCTTGCACAGCTTGCTCTGGATGCAGGGGTGCTACCTGTAAGGCCTGTGTTTCTCCTTGTGAGTGAGGTACTTTGAATTTAGTGGTGACATAGTTAATTTTTTGCTCTAGTTGTTACATGTTGGTTTAAAATCAATGGTTGTTGGATATGACTTCAAATGTATTATTTTATGTTTTTCTCAGCACATTTTCATTCCTTTTCATACCTGACATACATGTGGATCAGATTTAACCATTTGAAGGTTGAAAACCATTATCTGTTATGAGCAGTATTGTAGAATAATCTAAAGGTGTATCCTCTTGTTGGTAATTTTCTGTTTCTGAACGCATTTAATTTAACTTGTATATTAAAAGCAAACCAGTTGCATTTTTGTCCTGAGAGAAAAGTTTCATCTCTTTCTTACTACGGTTACAGTGATACTGCTAGGAAGACGTTTTAGATTGATGCGATTTTGGTTTAGGAAGGGAAGGGACAAAACAGTACATGAAATTAAAACAGACTCCTGAAGACAAATGGAAAGTTCTGATATGGATGTAAGAGTGAGGGTGTTTTAATACAAATGTCATAAAAATAGAATGCAAGTATCTAACAAAGAAAGTTGAATTTCTTTTTGGTGGCAGTGAAATTTTACTGTATGTGGGTACACTAAACTGTTGTCTCTGAACAGAATTGCATTATTGTCCATGAGCTGCAAATTTAGTTATACTTAATTCCCTTTTTACAGCTATTTTGTATCATAATCTTTTCAGTTGCCTCACTCAATAGCTACTTCTCCCTAATTTAATGAGTTCTGGAGAATTTTGAACTCTACTTTTTAGCTTGATTTTTGGTATGCTAGAAGTGTAGATGAAGCCGTATTCTAATGTATTCTTAATCCATAAGCACAAAATATAACTTCTGCAAATGACTGCCTAAGCTTGACTGAATAATTTCTATTCACTTCTGCATTTATGGGCTCTTTTGTTTAGTAGCAGCAAGATATTCAGTTCCTCATTTACGTTACTGTGTTTTATAGTTTTAAGTAATGCTTTAAAACTACATAGATCAGTTTGTTACATTTAAAAGGTCTAAAATACACGGGTCTAAAATCCATTACATGCATGTTCTTTTACAATTGTTTTTTGTCTGTTAACAGATTTTTATTTTTTTTTTTTTTTAAAATAGAGACTCATGGGACAACAGCAGGACATAAACAACTTGATACAGGGAAAAATTGCTGTGGATGAGGAGAATGCCCGTTTGAAGAATGAATTCAGTAACTTGAACCAGAAATTTAAAGATAAAAGCCAAGAACTTAAGGTATATTGACTTGTACATAGTTTCATAAGACTGTAGCTTTGAAGTAGTTCTTTAAGCAATGTCAGACTTTGTGGCACAGAAAGTGACAAGCTTGGAGAAAAAAATTGCCTTAGGCCTTGCTGTACCTTACTGTTTTCCCATATACCAACTCTGAGGAAGATGCTTTAAAGCCAAGAATCCAAGCTTTATAACTTTCAGATAAATAGTTAATGATGGAAATGGAGCAAAGAAAGTAGGAGTGTGAAGATGTGGCTTCTTGTAATTAGATTCTGATGGGACTAGCATTATTAATTGATAAAGGCGAGGTCTGGGAGGATATGTCTGTGTGGGTCTCAAAAATAGCTGGGGACAGCATCAAAGGCAGCTTGATCAATTAATGGGCTCTTTGCAAATGTGTACTCATCAAAGCTGTCATCCAGCTAAAAAATATGACCCTTCCACCTGCATGAAAGAGGCCAATAAAAGTACACAGGTGACCTTGGCCATCAAATATAGAAGAAGCTGCTGTGAGGGTAAAACTGCGCAGTTTATATTTGCTGATTAGTTCTCACTTTTTTTTCTTTATCGGCCCTTGTGGTACTGTTCTACAGGACACTGAGGAGTGTGCACAGAAGAAGGAAGAGCAAAACAGACTGGTTATAAAAAACCTGGAGGAGGAAAATAAGGGTTTAAATACATGCTGTGCTGACCTGCTAAATGACCTGGAGAAACTGAGGAAGCAGGAGGCACAATGGGAAACAGAAAAATCTGGCAACGATGCCAGAATAAAGGTATGAAGTGGAATGGATTCCAGGATGATATTTCAGAATTAACTTCTCTAGATATTTGCACTACAAGATATTTTCTTTAAATAACAAGTTATATATTCAAATTTACCAGTAGGGACTTGCATTCATTTACATTCCTTCACTTAAGACCCACAGCTTTTTAAAAATTGATGTTGCAAAGCAGGAATCTGACTTCAAATAGTGCTCTTAAAATGTAATCATTAAAAAATAAAAGGTACTGTATTTTAAGATAAAATATATGTATTTATGTGAAATAATATGAGTTTAAAAATATTATTCACAAATATTTTTGGAATGTGTAATTTACTTACCTATAATTTGGTTGGAGTAGACTTGATGTATGCTGTTCTGGAAGAACACTTTAAAACTTTTTAACTGCAGTTTTGAATAAATTGTGTCCTGGTCTTCGCTCTGTGAGAGGCCTTATTATTGCATATAATATGCTAAAAAGTTATTTTCACTGTTTATGATAAAATGGAAAAGGAAATAATTTACTGTATAGTACAGAATATTGTTTCTTTTATTTAAATGATATTTTGTCTTGTTTGCTGGTAAAAATCGGGGAGTTTCTTTTAAATTCCTGTAAGAAAAAGCCACAAACATGGTATCAAAGTGTTTGATGGCTGCTTATATACATGTCTAATTAGTGGATTGTTTTTATTTACATGGCCAATGAACACTTACAAAACTGTGCTCTTTTACATTGTCAAAGTACATGACTTTCTGGTATATTTAATATAGTAACTATCTAATCAACGTCTTGCCCGGAAACATCTTTTTTCTTCCGCTATCAATTCAATGGTTTTAGTGACACTTTGGAATGTTGTGTTGATGGAAACCCTTTTATAAAGAACCTTATTCAGCTCTGTTAACATGGGAAGTAAAGTTCTTGCAAATTGAGGCCTTTGGAGTGGTTATGATGAAAGGATTATAGGATTCCCAGGACAACGAATGATTTGTTGATACTCGGGGGAGAAAATCTAAAGTGCACTAAACTGATTTAATAATTTTCAAGTTGTCAAATGTAGTACTTGTAATATTGGATAAATTACTGAAAATGATTGTTACCCACACTTTCAATGAAAACAGTCAGAATAATTTTTAGGGTATCTGTTTTCCTGGCTGATAAGGCATGCTGAAGAGAGAAAGATCTGTCAGAGCCATGTGATTCCAGGGATGGGAATAAGTAGTGTTGGTGTTTCAGAGTGGGATCACAAGCAGGTCAAGGTGGTGTCTAGAGCATGACAGAGGTAGCTTCTTGAGATGGGTATTTCTTGAGCCAACCAGGAATGGCACAACTGCATTAGTCTTGGCTATAGTGACCATGAAATTGTGAAGACCAAGATCCTGAGAAGATGCAAAAGGAGAGTAGCAGAGTACGGACCTGGAATTAAGGAGAGTCTTCAGCTAGTTCAGGGAATTGGTAGGTGGAATCCCATGAGAAGCACCACTGGAAGGTAAAAGAACTCAGGAAAATTATCAGGTCTTTAAAGACAACTTCCTCCAAGCCTAGGTATGGTCTGCCTTGGTACTCAGGAAGACAAGTGGCTGTATCAGACCAGCTTGGCTAAACAGAATTGATCATCAAACACCACTGTAGGGTGGGGGTGGAAAGCAGTATTCAGGAAGCGCAAACAGCGAGAGCTACGAAGTAGTTCAGAAACACTGGGTACTCAAGGTAACCTACCAACAGTTAAGACTGGCAAGTGATGACAGGTATAACAAGAGTTTCTTGCACCACTTAAGTAGTAAAAGGCTGAACAAGGAAAACGGGGGCCTGTTGCTGAAAGGGAAGGGTGAAATAGTGACAGCAGGTAATAGATACATCAGAAGTATTCAGTGTTGCCTATGCCTCAGTCTTCTCCAACAAGATTCCCCCAAGCATTTGTGCGTAGAGTCAGAGTTCAAGAAGTAACACTAAGAGTGGATGAGTTTGGGAGAAACCTGAGAGAAATGACTAGTACACATCCATTGGATCAGCTGAACTGTGTACAAAGCTGCTGAGAGAGTTGACTGATGTTACTGTTGGGTTGCTGCCACTCATCTTTCAGAAGTAGTAGAGATTAGGGGAGATCCTTGATGAAAAAGAAAAAAGATTGGTTGGCCTCACTTCAGTCCCTGGGAAAATCACACAGAAAGTAATTTTTGAAGTAATTTCTGCACAGATAATTGAAAAAATGACTAGAAACAATAGGATTTACCAAGGGTGAATCATTCCTGAGCAACCTGATTGTCTTTTATGATACAATGATTGTGTCTGTGGACAAGAGGAGAGCTTGGATATGATTGACTAACTTTAACAAGATTTTTGTCACTATATTGCTATATTCTTGTACCGAAGTTAGAATGTTACAGCTGGATAGGTGGACAACAACACATTTAAAAGAACTATTTGGATGTTTGGGTTTGGAGAGCTGTGGTTAATGGGTTGTACTCTGTCTGTCGGCTGGTAATAAGTGGTGTACTGCAGGATCTATTCTGGACCTGTCTTGTTTAAAATCCTTACCAGTGACCTGGAAGAGGGGACAGCAGGCATGCTTGTCAAGTCTGCCAATGACACCAGACGGGAGGGGAAGTGGAAGTGCTTGAGGTCTCTGCTGCCATGGAGGGAGATCTTGACAGAAATGGGCTAAGAGGAGCCTTAACCAGGACAAATGGTTCCTGGGAAGGTAGAGACCTGCAGCCATACAGGGGCTGTGGATCAGCTCTAGGGGACAGCCCTGGACACTGGTGGGCAGCAAGCTGCTTTGGGGCCAGCCCTGTGCACCCAAGTAGCATTGAGGGCCAGCAGCACCTAGAAAGGCATGAGCAGGGCTTGGCCCCAAGAGCCAGGGGAGGAACTGATCCTATGTGCTCAGTACAGGTGCTCACCCGTTTTTGGGTGCAGTACAAAAAGGATATCAGTAAACTGGCTGAAGGTGAGACCATGGGGCTAGAGACCTTATCTTGCAAGAAGAGTCTGTGGAACGGGCTGGTTCAACCAGGAGAATGGATGGCTCTGCGGCTGAGGATATCCAACAGCATCTCTGGCACCCAGGAGGGGATGGAGGAGACACTGCTGACCTTTTCATAGTAGTGCATGGTGGAAGAGTGAGAGGCAGCACAAACTGAAACAGGAAAAGCTGAGGCTGGAGATAAGGAGAAGCCTTTTTCCCAGTAGGACAGCCCAGGAGTGGGGCTGGGGCCCATGGAGGTTGGGCCATCTCCATCCTTAGGAGATTTCAACCCGTGGTAAAGCTCTGAGCAGCCTGGTTGAATCTCTTGGCTGAACCTGCTTTAGGCAGGGGCTGTGACTGGAGACCTCAGTTCCCCACCAGCCTGCATGTGTCCATGGGTGTGAGTGCCCCAGATTCTGTATTTTTTTTTTTATTATTTTTTTTTTTCTTTCTTTCCCTTCTGTGATGTTAGGCAATTGACCATACATCTTTGCTAGGGGACAGAGTTAGGTGAAGTTGATTATCTCACAAGACAATTGCAAGGATTGAGAAGCATACTAAAAATACTGTTTGCAAGAGAGAAATGTTATATTTGACCTCTAGGAAGTAGTAAAGTGTTGTCTCATAAATTTTTATCAACATTTTGTAAAATAATAATTTGTAAAAACACGCAAAGTTATTTTTGTAATTAATCACTGTTTTTACATATACTTGTCCTGTAAGTATTTGCTTGAATGTTTGAAGTTTCAGTTTGAATTAGTTTCTCCCTCTGTTCCTGACATTCTCCATTTCTATTACTTGACACTCAAGAATCAATATTGGATGCCAGATTGGCTCTTAACAGGATGCTTATAAACAATAAAGAATAATAATTTTCTTGCCCATAGAGGCCAAATACGACATTATCACACTACATGATATTGGGCTGCAGGTGATGTTCTAATATATATACCCCAATATAACATGTCCCTGAATTGCTTTTAAAAAGTAATTTATGAGCAAATTCAATAATGGAATTGTATTGTTTTTTTGAAGTGATTGTAAAAATGGTTATAGATTAAAATCATTTGCATTCAGAAATTATATCCTCTTCTGAAAGTCAGTTCTGCCTCTCAGTCTTGAGATTGGGAATTGAACCAGCATCTCTTTTTGTACGTTTTTCGGTAATAAAAGCTATATTGTAGATGACGTTGTATACAGACACTTTCCATGTTAGTCTCCTGTATCTGTGGAAGAATAAAATATAAACTTACCAATGTGAGCTACCTCAACGTTGTTTTTAAAATGTGTATTAGATGATAGAAATGGTAGGTCTAAATAACAGATTATTAATTTTGAAAAGTGACCCTCTGTTCGGAGACTGAACTAAGTGTTACTAGCCTCCTTTTGTTTTTTTTAAATTCAGTCTTTAAACCACTTCCTGCACAGAAAAGTGTCACTTGTCACTTTCAAAGACTGATGGTTTCCACACCTACTATAGACAGAATTGGGGTATAAAAGTGAACTTTTTCAAACTGAGAGAGAAAGCTTTTGTGGCTAGTTTGGCCATTTAAGGAAAATTTCTTTAAAGCTTTGTCATATTAGCCAAAATCCAAGTGAGACAGATTAACAGGAAGAGACCTAATAAGGTGACTAAAAGGGTGGCAGTAATGTTTTGTTGTTTATATTTCTCATATATACATTCATATTAATAATGTACAGTATAAAAAAAAATTAACATAGGGCTTTGCTTTCTGCCTTAAAGTAGTTCTTGAGAATTACTCTTCTGTATCTCTCAAAAGTGCACAAGTGGAAAAGCTGTCAATCAGCCTCTTTATGCACAGATATATCTCCATATTTAAGAATGAATTAGGCATTTAAGTTATTTTGTTGTTCTTTGGGTGGAGGTTACTTAAGTTACTGTTTAATAATTATAAGAATGTATATTTTTGCAAACTCAGTCACAAAAAGCTTTGTATGTAGACACAAAAAATGTCAGACTAGTAGATTTTAAGTGGAGGTGAAATCACTTGTGTCAATTGAAATAAAAATCTGGAGTTGCATACGTCACAAGTGGAGTGAAGTACTGAAAGATATATTTTTTTTCTGTTTTTAAATTCTGCCATCATGTAACTTCTAAAATTGTATTTATGCCAAAATAATTTGTTACCTGTTCTTGTGTTGCATCCTGCAGTGGCTGATGGGAACTTCAGCATTGGTAAGATCAGATATTTTTTTAAATGTCTACCATGAAAGACCTCTGCAACTTTCTAATGTGGTGCGAAAGATAAGCAAACAGGATTTGTTAGTAGAAAATGTGAACTATTATAAATTTTTTTCACATATACAGTAACTTTCAGCTACTGAGGAAGAAAAAGCACTGAGAAGAATCCCTAAGATTATTTGGCTGCAAGTTATAAATATCTTATTATACTTCAATATTTTCAGGTGTTAACAGAATGAACTATCTCCCATCATTCTGACATCTTTTGTTATCTGAGAAAAAATAATTTTTGCTACCTAGCCTTTGAGATTAAATTATGACTTTTTAGTTAGGTACATCAAGTATACAGCCTGAGATTTATCAAGACACAAGTAGTTTTCCTACCTCATTCACTCATTAATTTTGCTATTTCATCACATTAATGTTACTGTTGCTAACAGGACATGATAATTCTTAATTCTTGTCCAAATTCAGAGAATTTGATTGTAGTACACTTCTGATACACCCAAATATGTATAAGACATTTTTATGCTGTTTTAAAGAGACAATTAATTATTTGCTTTTCAGTTATGAAAATGTTTTCTTACCGTCAGTATTTGAGGCATCTTTTCTGAAAGGGTGAAATGTGCATTTCTTTATTTCTTTAAGAGCCTATGAAAATAGAAGATAAACTAATATACTGTTGGCAGTAGATGAAGGATGCTAGCCTGTTAGGAAATGATTATTTTAAATTATTGCTGAATCCTGGAATAATTGCCTTCTGAGAATGAGTGATTATGTCTGTGAGTAGCATAATACCAAAGCAGGTATAAGGCTGTTGCCACCTTCTGAAACTCTGCTCTAGATATTGCTGTAATTTTTCTGTTTCCATTCTTACCTCAAAATGCTCTGAGAGAATAGTCATATGGAGCTTCTTAAGGACTGAAGTACTCTTCTAAGCTGCTAAACCTCTAGAGAACGCTATGTAGAAATCAAAATCTTACTTGATCAAGCTGCCTTGCTCCTCTGTTTCCCAGATACAAGATGCGTGAAGGTGTGAAGATACACCTTCACACTTGCTAACTTCTACAGTTACGCTTACTGTAATAGGCAAATTATTGCTTGTTTACATGGTTTTCAATGCATTTCCAGAAGATTTCTTGTATGCGGTTTCTGTTCCTGAAGGAACCATTCCTTGCCCTCAATTAGAAGTGCAGAATCAGAGCAGGTTTAACAAGCAATCTCAAAAGTGAGTCTGTATCCATGATTCTTAGTTCATATGTGCAATATTGCGCATTTTTTGTAGAACTTAATGCAATTAATATATAGCTGGGTTTTTTTTGTTACTAGTACGTTTTTTTCTGTTTGATTTCCACAAAAAACAAGGTTTAATCAGTTCAGTAGTTATATAGTGTGCTACTACTTTACAAAGATTTGATTCAAGATTCTCCTTCCACATGCAGCAAACAAATTAAGAAAACTTCCTACATTAAAGAATAGGTATCCACCTAAAATTTGAAAGATACCTTTTTTCTGTTATTTCACATTTTTCATACACACACATATGCCTATGTATATATCTACTTAGACTACAGTAAATACATGCATGTATGTATGTGCACATCCGTATTTCTATGTACGTTTATAATGCGCATAGTAGATTTTAACTCTTTTTTTATACATTAATACATTTCAAATGCTTTCTTTGCAGAATTTGGAAGCTGATTTAGCTGAGGCAAGAGAACAAATGAAAGAGCTGCGCAGTATATGCAGTAACTTGTCATCTCAGTTAGCTGTGAAACAGGAAGAACTCTCCCAAAAGGATTGTGATGTTATCAGAACTAAGTATGTACTTCATTATTTTATTACCTTTAGGTCTGAATCTTCTAAAAAATATTGTTATTCCACTTACAAAGCAGTTTCTTGCATTAGAGGTACTTTATCCAACAGCGTATTTTCATGCTATTCTGTTCTGCAAGATGTAAAGTTTTTGGAAGTCTACCAGTAGATGACAGTTTATGTAGACTCTGATACTTTTCTGACTCTTAGTGTATTATCAGTTTTTGAGTAGTGATGAACTTTAAAAATTATACTTCTGTAATTAGCATTGGGTCAGAGAACTTCCAGACTCCAATGAAAGGAATAAAATAACAATGTGATTAGTGACATAAATATTTAATTGGTGAGGTTAAATGCCCTAAATTTGGAAAAGCTTTAAGCCTAACTTCAAGTTTTTAATTAGAGTCAAGTCTGAGAAGTCAGCAAAAGTTTACATAGGCCTGTACTAAAGGTTTAAAGTACAGTAATTTAAGCTTTATCTTAAGTCTCACACACCATTTCTTTAAACTGAATCTGTAAAATTAGTGCTGCGTTACTTGAGCCATGGCAGAGAAATGAAGGATGGAATGAATTATATGAATTGACTAGACTACTGAATTCCTCAAAATGAAGGTAATGGCAGAAGACAATTGATAACTTTAAGTTGGATTGTCAGGAAATTGTCCATTTTTCACTTCTTAGTTTCAGAGACATACACGGTGTAAATAAACACCTGTGTTAGACAAATAATATTCCCTTCAATATTCCCTTAAACTGTGGTTATGCCTGAAGAACTGCAGTTGGGATGCAGAAATCATAGGTATGGGCGCTCATCTTTGCTTTAAAAGCAGGAATAATTTTACCGTAGGGAGTCAGTATCTAAGTCTTTTGGGGAAAAAAACCCTAGAAATATGTTTTTTTGATGCCTCTGACCTAAATTGCCATCCTAGTATTTGTTGAAATCTTTACAGGAAAAATGGTGTCTTGTTATTTTCATATTTGAAAGGTACAACGGTTGAGTTTTTAAAGGTCAATAAAATTATACAAGTTTAATGGGAAATTGTATTGAAAGAGGCAATCATTGTAATTTGTGAAATTCATCAATGGACTAATAGGCTTTATTATCTTCTGAAATTATTCTCAGAAATATATATATACCTGAGAAGGCCAGGGACAGCAAAGAAGACATTTTTAAATTTGGGTGTGGTGGTTTAACTTAGCTATGTGCTATAACACATTTCATAGTATCTATGCCCTTCCCTTGAGAAGCCATAATTCATAGTGCCTGTCACTGTGTTGTATTTCTACATGACAGGTAATCTAGAAATTTCCTGAATTACCCCAAACCCTCCTATATTCCCTTGGTAATAAGGGTAGCTGAGGTACTAGGAGTCGTGGTGTATGCACCAAAACTGTGGTGGAGAAGCAAAGCCAACATCACCTGAAGTGGTGGGTTTGATTAACTCTATTTGTAGCACAGTTAGATAGCTTATGGGCTGACAGCTAGTCAGCCCTCAACCTATGCTACTACATGGGGTTATTACTCCCCAGGGGCAGTAAGTTACACTATCCTCTGTTGAATTTCATGAGATTCCTGTCAGACCGCTTGTCCAACTTGTTGAGGTCCCTCTGAATGGCAGCGCAAACATCTGGTGAAACAACCACTGCCCTCCATTTTATGTTGTCAGCAAACTTGCTATGGTGCACTCTGTCCCATTGTCCAGGTCATTAATGAAGATGTTAAAAAATTTTGTTCTCAGTGTTAGCGCCTAGGATACTTTGCTAGGGCCTGGCCTTCAGATGGACTTTGTGCCACTGATCAAGAGTCTTTAAGCCTGGTAGTTCAGACAGATTCAAGTCCACCTTACTCTCCACTTACCTAGCCTATACCTCTATTTATGAGCATTTTAGTGTCAAAAGCCTTACTACAATCAAGGTAAACAACATCCGCTGCTCTCCCCTCATCCATTGAGCTGGTCATATAGTCAGAGAAGGCTGTAAGGTTGGTTAAGCATCATTTCTCCTTTGTAAATTCATTATGACTATTCCCAATGATCATCTTGTCCTTTATATAGCGCATCACCTTCCTAGGGATTAAAGTGAGGCTGACTGTTCTAGTTTCCCAGATCCTTCTTGAATGTTGGAGCGACATGCTTTCTTTCAGTCCTCAAGAACCTCCCCTGATAGCCGTGGCCTTTCAAAGACTATTGACTCTGTCTCAGCACTCATAGGTGCATCACATCAAGTCCCATGGACATGTATACATCCAGTTTGTTTAAATATTCCCTGATCTGATCCTTCTCCACTGAATCAGAGGCACCTGAGATTTCTGGACGCAAGTGTTACCTTTAAAGACAGAGTTAAAGCAAGCATTGAATGCTTTGGCCTTTTTTATGTCCTTTGCTACCAGAGCCCCTGCTGTTTTCAGCAGTGAGCCCACTTTATCCTTTGTCTTCATTTTGCTACTGATGTACTTAGAGAAGCCTTTTGTTATTCATGTCCCTCACCATACTCAACTCCACTCACATTTAGGCTTTCCTGACTCTACCTGTGTGCTTGGGTAATGTCTCTAAATTCTTCTTGGTCTCCTCTCCCTTCTTCTGCATCTTGTATCCTTCCTTTTATATTTGATTTACATTTGAGTTTAGTCATAGGAGGTCTGTGTTCATCCCTGCAAGCCTCCTGCTACCTTTGTTTGACTTCTTGCTTATTGGAATGGACCATTCTTGATCTTGGAGGAGATGATTCTTGAAAATCAACCAGTTTTCATGGACCCTTCTTTACAAGGTACATCCCTGAAAATGTCCAGGTCTGCTCTCCTGAAAACCACGATTGTGATCCTGCTTTTCACTTTTCAGTATCCTGAACTCCTGTAATCTCAAGGTTGCTGCAGACAAGCATACCCTTGACCTTTACATCCCTAACCAGTTCTTCCTTGTTTGTAAGTACAAGGTCCAGCAATGTGTTTCCCCTCATCAGCTTGTGAATTACCTGTGGCAAGAAGTTATCATCAAAGCACTTCAAAGCCTCCTAGATTGCTTGTTCCCTCTTGTGTTGTCACTCCAGCATGTACTGGAGTGATTCAAGTACCCAGTGAAGAGAAGGGCTTGCAAACATGAATCTTCCAGTTTTCTGAAGAGGACTTTGTTCTTTCTGATCAGAAACGATCAGGAGGCAGCCAGTGTGTCATCTGCATTGGTCTGCCTACACCTGACCCATATCCTCTCAGCTAGCTCATTGCCCATCCGAAGGCAGAGCTCCGTCCATTTACACTACTTCTTCACATAAAGGGCAACTTCCTGCCATCCCAGCCTGTCCTCCCTAAAGAGCCTGTCTTTCCTAAAGAAACAGTTTGTCTATGCTTGGCAGCACTCCAGTCTCATGAGTTATCCCACCTTGTCTCTGTGATCCCATTGAGCCCTGCAACTGCAGACAGGTATCTTAATTCCTTCTATCATTGTCTGTGGGGATGCGAAGTGTACGTTTGAACAGCAACTTCAGGTAGGCACCCAGTTGTGCTTATTTCCATGGAAGAGCCTTGAGAGCCTCCCCTGTACTGATGTCTTGTCAGCACTCCCTTATTTACGTGCGTATGTTTGAGGTGGTGCTCCCTGAGCCTTGTATTGTTCATCTCAAGGTCTTTCTTGTCCACACCCACCTGTGCTTTTTGCTTGCCAGCCCAGACCACAGCTCCCTTACTTGTTACTTGGTCAACATCTCTGTCCCCTGCCATTTGTAGTTTCAGGCTTCCCTTACCACCTTGGCCTGCCTGTTATCAAAGGTACTTCATTCAGTGAATTTATTTGTATTACACCATTGGTGCTGAATAATCTTGGTAAGATTGGGCATAATTTCCTCTTTACTGTGGAAAAATAAAGTAAAAGAAGATTCCCCTTGTGGATTTATGGTGTAAAAATAGTACCTCATTCACTAAAGAGGATAAAAGCAGCTGTAACATACAACCAAAAGTTAAATACAGTGGTTGTGTATTTCTGTGGCTCAAAAATTTTTCAGATTGCAACTGTTGGTTTGTATAACTTTTTACTCAAAAAAAACCTCCCCAAAAAACCAAGCTAGGATATGTATATGAAGAAATAAAGTTTGATTTTTTTTAAATGTGGCGTAATGGAACTGTGGCTGAGTTTCCTTTTATTTAAAAATCCTTTAACACAAGCAAACATGCTAATGTGTTTTCTGACTGTGCTGCAATTCTTGGGTGACTGCAAGGTTTAGCTTACCAACCCCCATATCCCCTTCCCTTTAGGGTGTGACTCTGAGCCTGATGCTAAAGTAAATAAAAAAGATTCCCAGTCCGTTAGAGTACACATAATACTGTGCATTCTCAGGTGACATACACAGGTAACTGCATTGATGTTTGCACGCAAATTAAAGAGCAACAATATAGCAGAGTGGTCTTGGCAACAGTTACTACCAACATTGCCAACAGTATCTGAGGATTCAACATTATCCCATGTTTTTCCCTTCCACAACAAAATGAATATCCGATTGGAGAACCTCTGCAGATTTAATATAGTCTGTGTTTTAACTGCGGTGCAGAGATGAGTTGTTTTCTGCTATATACTCACAGTCGGGGAAATGAAACAAGTGGTTGTTTTGAAGCCTCTTGTACAGGGTGTCAGAAAGTACTTTTATGTTCTTATTTCTGCTGTTGCGCTTGTGAACAGAGTTAAATTAGTACACATTAAGTACATATTGCAGTTGTACTTTGTTTTTGTTGCATAGAGTCCTTAATGTCCCTCTACCGTTGTTAATTTTGAGGAGCTACTTTGTATCTCATTGAGAACAGTAGGACTTAAATACTGTTAAGTAAGCATGTCTTTAAGTGTTCTCCTATATTGACCTGTTAGCAAGCTTTTTGAAACACTGCTTTTTTAACAACATTAAGTTGTCTGACAGTGCTGTTGTGGTACCTGTAACTTCAATTTTTATATAATTATTCAGATGTTGTACCTTTAGTGAGTAATCAACATACTAAGTATCAGCACAGATCTTAAGAAATGGTTTTTGGACATTTGCCCTAAAATGGTTTCTTTGTTGTTCTGCTGTTTCTCAGGAAAATACAACAAAGTTGGTATTGCTGCTTACCTTTTGCACGATAATCTTTGACTGAACATTTCTAGCAGTATTACAAAAATGTAGTTTTGTTGTTAATAATAGTTCTAGGCACAGATAAGTCACATATGTGTTGGGAGTCACAAAGAAAATTCTTTGAGGAAGTAAGGAAGAAAATTAGTTGAAATAATAAAATTTATATTTCAGTATCTGTATGTAATACGAATGTGAAATGTGCTTGTAAATCAAACAGGGAATTAAGCAAAAAATATATAAAAAGATATTAATGGAATCATCTGAAGTTTTAACATGTATTACAGAAAAATATTCCATATTTTTAATCATTGTTTATAATTAGTAAGAGTTACTGATTTTAATTTCCACCTTAATTTCTAGGATCTATCAGCAGTACAGTAAAATTCTCAAGCAGGCTGATTATACTAGATCTATCCTATGGCTGCATTACAATATGATTCCTAGTATTGTGTTTGTAGAGCTTTTATTGTTATGTTATATAATATACACCAAAGTTTACTTCCTTTGCTTATGGTTGTTGCAGTATGCTGTACCTGCAGACATAAGTAAAAGTAATTTATCAGCAGACATACGTCATGTGTTTAGGGAGCAGATACATTTCAGAAAAAAGACTTACATTATACATACTCTGCAAGTGAAGAAAAACTTTTTTTTTCCTGATGGTTCTAGTTAAAAAAAAACCCCAAACTTATTTCATAGTCCATGTGTTCTAAATATTTTACATTTTGACACTTACTGCTAAAGAGTTAACTGAATATTGATTAGAAAGTGTTGATGCAGTAGTGAAAATCCATTTATTTTAGAGCAGTTAGCACATTAGAGGGAAATTGAAAGGCATTCAATTTCAAAACTTAACAACTTTGTAGATATTTCACGAAAGTATGTGATAAATATTTTATATGTAACTTCCAGTGTTTATAAGGCACTTGACAGAAAAATAAATGAAAATAGGAAGCTCATTATTTGAACACAATTGTTTAACGGAGACCATTGTTGTTATTTTTCCTAATTTTTCTTAATTGCCTGTTTTGCACAGGAAGGAGTTGCAGGAGTTGCAGAATCTTTACAGACAAAACATTGAACATACAGCACAGCAAACTGAGCTGATAAAGCAGCTTCAGGCTCTCAATACTGATACACAAAAAGTACTGAAAGACCAAGAAGATGCTCACACAGCTGAAACAACATCTTATCAAAAAGTATGTCATTCTGTTTTATGATCAGAAATTTAATTTTAATATACATCTGCACAATATCAATGGACAGAGTAATCAAAGCACTGTGTCACAAGTGTTGCATCCTTTAGATCTCTGGATCGTTATCGTTACCAAAATACGGTTGGCACAGTAACAGAGTTTATTGGCCTAATTACGTCCCAGCATATATGGCCCCTTGATTACATTGAACTGATGAGCCTTAAAAATTAAGATTTTGTTGCATCTGAAGAATAGGAGTGAATTGCCAAGCATATAAATTTGTTTAAGTAATTTTGTGTTATCTGTGTTCTTCTTCTTCTTCTTCCTCTTTTAGAGCTTTCAGTTATTAAATTCTCCAGTTTGTTTTTGATAATTTAAGAGAAGAAGTTTCTTCACTTGTAAATAATGTCTTTGTGTGAACCAGTTTTACTGGTTTAAGCAGGCTTAAGCAAAAACCTGCTCTATCAAAATTAACTGAAAAAATTGTTGCTATAATAGCTTTTTAAATGGATAACTAATTAAAAAAAAACAACCTGTATTTGCATTTACAGAGCAGATTCATATTTTTGGTGAATGCCAAGAAAAACACTAACCCTGAAGAGCTGTCATATGTGCACTACTCAGAACTTATCCTTTTGAGTGTAACAAATTATATTAATAAGTTTTTCAGTCTGTAAGAAATACAGAAGATATGTTTCCTTCCTTTTTAGAAACATAGAGAAGGAAGAAGACAAGGAAGAAGTCATATATATAACTTTCACATCCCTTCTACCTATCTTGGAACTGTTTTCTCAAATTGTGTACTTTCAGTGCATTTAAAAAAAAAAAAAAAGTGTTTCCATTTATCTTCTTACTTAGAGTATGCAGTTGTGATAAAATTGTGAAGCTGGGCTTAAGTCAAGCCAGGATCAGCACTGTGTTTCTAAAGATGTGTTTGATTAACATTTTGTAGCATATAGTGCCCAGCAGACTCTTGTGTACTTAGCTCTGCACCAAGTTCATAATTGACTGCAGTGACGACAGACATTAACTCTTTTATTCACTACAATAGTATCCAGCCAAGCTACAGGCAACTTCCAAAGTTGTTCAGAACATGAACAAGGCAGGGAGAGTTCTACCGATCTGGGGCAAGACCAAGTAAATTATAGATTTTTTAAATTATTATTATTTAAAATACAGAATGTAGGTATTGGGAATTGCTATTTCTTTCATTTTTCATTCTCTGGTCAGTGCTTTTGTAGATGTTAGACGAATCCTTTGAGTCACTCAAATAAAAAAAAGAAATGGCACAAGTGAAGACAGTATGAACTCTCCTCATCAGTGTTTATAAGACCATATTCTTCCAGACTAGTTCTACAAGATATGACAGAAAATAAGTCTAATGAAAACCCAATTTTAAAGCATGACAGAACTCTTTATAAAGGTCACTTTAGCTTGCATAAGTGATTTTGCTAGTGTTACTTTAATTTGGGAGTTTAACCTATCCTATGAAAAATTATTTTGTTATTATAATTTGCTTATGTATTACAGAAAATAGATGGGTATACTTATATAGCTGTAAGGGCAAGCCACTTCTAAAGTGGACTTGTCTCAAAATTCAGGATTACGTCAGAAAGGTGGTTCACAGTTCTTAGTCCATCTTAACAAGATTTAAGACTTAAATATATATAAGATATAATAAGAACAAAAATAATGTGGTTTTGAAGATAAGGCCTCTCCCCCCTCCTTTTTTTTTTTAAATAGCTGCCAAATACTTCAATTCACAGATAGCCTTAAAATTTGCTGGTTTGGAGGTTATTAATTCAGTATTTTTCCAACATGGAGAGGAGTACGGTTTGCCTCTTCAACCAGCAAAAGTTCCCTAAGTCAAAGTGGAATAGATCTAATAAAGTTTGTGGCAAATTGAGTTGAGAGAACTCAAAAGGAAAATGAATTATTTTATTGTGACAATCCTGTTCTATACTTCTGATTACAAGAAGTGTATAAAATACCCAACTGTAATTGCTTCAAAGTAACATGCATTTTCCAAATAACAAGATACAGTTCTACTGAAGTCACAGCAAGCCTTTGGAAAAATCAGCATCTGTAAAAATAATACAAATGCCTATTTTTCCTTTGAATGAGAAAGGCAAACTATTGCAGACAAATGTGTGTTCTATTTGTCTTCCATGCATTAATAAAACACAGGCTGCAACAACTAGATAAGGATGTGTCAGCTATTCCGTAGATGTATTCACAAAGGAGTATTTTCCTGCTGCTCTGAATGGCATTGAGCCTATCAGTGCGTACATCCTATGATATATTGTCCCTTGCAGCAAGATCAATGACCTCTCTGTTAGTGGTCAGATAGGCAGTATACGCTATAGCTCAGGCAGTGTGGTTGGCTCACATA